AAACTCAAAAATACAGTTGTCCTCTGTCAGTGTGAAGGCCAGCAACACTATTTATCAGAAAACTTTTTTTTTTTCATTTCTCAGAGCTATGTAACAACAGCCTACAACAATTCTCCATCCTACTTTTATAGATGGAAAAATTGAGAGGGGGGCATTTAGCTGTGTAGTGGAAGAGGAGAGTATTCAGCAAAGATACTTTAAAGGGAATCCCAGGGTGGGGTGGGGTTGTTTGACACCCTTGGGTCAATTCTATGTGTATATACAGTGGTTCTATTCAGGCACAAGTCTGCACCCTGCAAGTTCCCAGATAGGGTATAATAGAGGAGAAAGGGCTGTGATGATGTGGCAAAAGAAAGGAAGATGACATTTTGCTAATCAGCAGCTATGTGAAAAACCAGAACAGTGGCAATAGGGTAATCAGGAAGCCTAGGTGTGGTGGGAAGAGCTAGATCAAGTGGGTTAGGGGTGCAGGAAGGCACCTTATTCAAAGCCTCTTCAAACCCAATGGCATCACTGTTCATTTAACATGTCATTAACATTTCATTTCCACAAATATGCTTGCTAGCAAAGTACAATCTAAAACAAGTCTTTCAAGATAGCTGACACAGCTGGGAAAACTCCAGATGATTTCTTAGCAAAATAGGATCACAGGAAGCTGCCTTATATTAGGTCAGATCATTAATCCAGCTAGTCCAGGAATGTCAACACTGATCTGGCAGCAGCTCATAGGGGTTTAGGCAATAGTTTTAGATCTTTCCACTTGCTCACATATCCATTTTAAAATTGTTGGTACAGAAAGCTGCCGTGTACCAGGTTGGCCTCCTTGTCCATCCAACCCAAGATCATTTTCTCTTACTGGCAGCGGCTCTCCAGGGTACTGAACCTGGGACCCCTGCATGCAAAGATCTGTCACTGAAATATAGAACTATGGTTCCTCCTCCTCTTCATGGGTCTCCATTTCCAGGCTGATAAAGAATGTGAGAAGTAGTTGTCCCTGGCAGTGCTGATTATTTGTGACTGTTCAGAATGGTCAGAATTGCTTCCCTAACTTCCATACCCTTTGACGAGCCTAGTCTCATAACTATTTTTCCCTCTAAGAAAGAATAGCAGCTCAAATGAAACTCGGGCAAAAAGGGCCAAAGAACACTTGATAATATTAAATCAATTGCTTTTGTATCCCCACTAGGAAGAACTAATGCTAACTAACTCGCTATGTAAAGGACAGTGTAGCTGATGCCGATGTGTAATGTGCAAAGAAGGGCACAAAGTTGCTGAGACCGATAGAAAGGTTCATCCTATCTCCTAGAGCACAGTGGGAGTTCTTTAGCAGGCAGTAAATCACAGTGGCATTACATTGTGGAATGTGCCTGCTTGAGAAGGTAACACACATGTTATTGTTAGGTAAATGCAAGTGATAGGCAAGAAGACTATTTACGACATACAGGATATCAGCGCTGCCAGGAATGGCCAGTAAATCTTTAGACCCAAGTGTCTAAATGCCATCAACGCCCTTGTAAATCTGTGGATCTCCTTAAGCTCTGGAGATTTTGCCTTCTTTACCTGCCACAGAAAAAGTGCTGGAAAAGTTAAGGTTCCAATCAATTGCTTCACCTTTAACACGCGGGGAAGCAAAGTATGCTATACACGCTTTCATGTTCATTTTGTAAGAAATGCTGATTGATTCATTGCAAAAGAGAATAATCATGTTTTCCTCTTGAAGCAAAAGAACAATTAAGGCCTGAAGACCATCAAGAGCTTTATAGGATAGAGCCAATTGTTGTGGATAAGCCATAGGCAGCCCATTCCAAGACACACATATGTTTACTCAGAATGTGTTAGGCACCACAGAAGAGCTGTGCTACAACAGCCTGTGAATCTATTTAGGGTAGCCTTATGTCTCCACAGAGGTCAATCGGATGTTTCTAAGTAGGCCATGAGCAACATTTGAGGGCAATAGTATCCCCCCTACTTGTGTTCCCCGAACACTGATACCAAGAAGCATCCTGATGGAATTCAGCAGATCTTTATTTCCCAATAATTGTTGCAAACTCAAGCTACAGTCTGCTATAAATTTAACAGTAGAATCAAGCAAAATAGCAGCCAGGGAAAGAGATATTAATTTATCTGCAATCATTTTGAAAGCCAGTACCCCTTAGGACAGTGCCTATTAATTTCTCTATGAATACAGAAGCTACTGATGATTAGCGATAGGACAGAATTCACATGAAGTATGCTACCTATGTAAATACCACTACTTGAATTCTTGCAAGCACAGTTGGGGCCAGCATCGCAATGATTTCCCTTTCTATTACAACTGGACTATCCTTGATTGTTCTCACTAGTGCAAAACATGACAATGTGCTCTTACCAGAATAGGGAACTATAAAGATAGGGCTCAGAGATATTTCTTAGTTAAAGTTTTTACTGGTTTTCTTTATATGTTAGACTTCAGTTCTTATATTACCCAGTTTCATGGACTCTTATTTCATTAACTATAACGCAATAATATGAAGGCACCTGGCACAGGTATATTAGTGGAGTCAAGTTGGTCTTGTTTTGTAGGACTATCATGGAAGACTCCTTGAAACCACATGCTAGCTAGAACACAGAAGAAGAATGGACTTTAGTTACTTATTTTTGAAATGTTTATCTTGCCTCCCTCTTCATTTGAAAAAGATCCTATAATTGTTTACTAAATACAGTACTAAAACAGTCCCCATGCTTATACAGATGTACAACTATATTTTGTCCAGCCCAAAAGGCAAAATCTTAGGAAGAGGAAGGGTGAAAAACAAAAGTTGCATAGTAGATTTTGGTGACAAAGTTCTGCTAATGATCAGTTGGGGGAGAAGCAGTCCAAGAAGAAGAGAAGCTGAAAGCTTCTGGTCTGTCAAATGACTGATGGAAGGTCTCTATCTCTAAAGCCTTATGAAATGGCTGCTGCTAAGTGACTTGATGGCGACCGGAGCCCAGTGGAACCAGTCTTTCTGCGGAGCTGATGTAGAAGTCTCCTGCTTCCCCATTCTTCCTTTCTACAGAGGATGGAATAGCTGTAGATAAAGGAAAATGTGTGATGAAGGTTGAAATGTTTTCTCAGCCAGCAGTATGCAAAAGAACCTTGGTGGGGCACAATTCACTTTGCCAAATCTGGGCAAGACAGGGTAAGAGAAAATTAGGGTAGAGGACCAGTTGAATGTAGCAACTGAGGCTTGTTGGCTGTGGCCCAGTAGTATTGTTGCTGTGGGTAGGAAGACAAGGGGCAGTACCTTCACTCTTTCTTTACTGCAAAAGACACCTCACCATCGCTGCCTCCTTTTTGGTATGTATTGGAGAAAGGCAAATATTGAACTGAAGGCAGGAGATGATTGCTGCAAAGAAGCTGATGCTGTTGGCCATGAGGTGTAGGATAGCTGTTAGGTTAGCTTGACAGAGACGCTTTCTTTTACTGAGACAAATACTCTGCATGGCACTGTAGTGTTATATCACTTCCGTGCAGGGAGAGATTGTATTCTCTTTGGACTGAGAAAGACAAACACTCCTTTGTGTTGCATTACTCTAGTGTAAGCAGATACCGCACTTGTTTTTCCTGGCTGTAAGGGGTTAATGAAATGCAACTACAGTCTCCCCAGAAATAATTTTGAATTATGATAACCTCTTTCCTGGTGATACAATTTTTTTCTTATCTTTGTCTTTTAGTGTAGCTGTAAAAATATTGTCAACAGTATAATCGTAATTCTTGTGTACTTAGAAAATACTATATAGAATACATGCAAATATGTAAACCTCCTTTTCTGAAAAAGTGATCTCTCTTCTGAAAAGGGCCCAGGTTCTTTAAGAGAGCATTGGTTAAGAGCCCCTGATATAAGAGCGAGTTTTAGCTCTAAATTGTTTGAGATTTAAGATATCATTTCCTGTTTTAAGTCACACTGATTTTTATTTCATATGTAAAAAGAGAAAGAAAGAGAGAAAAGGAAACCCCACAAAAACGTACAGCTCTTATATATTCAATTCAAGTTATACAGCTAAATTATTATTAACATTTAAGTCAGTTTATTTAACAATAAGAAAAAAGGGAAATTAAACATATAAATGAACACATGCAGCACAAATTTCTACATAGTCCCCCATTTGTGATTTCTGTGGTAAATTTGTATTCAAATATAGAAAGAAAGTTCTTCAGAACATTGAAGTTTTGACTTCAAGACAGAGCTAGGAATTATCTGAGGGTGCTCATCTGACTACATAATTTATAACCTGACTCCAGTAGCAAATCCAGCACTTTTTAAAAAATGGATTATGGGTGTGAATCTTCTGCTTCAGATTGGACAACCTTTTGCTGGAGATTGGACAACCCAAGATAGAATTCAGAAGTTTGCTTGTTTATATGGTTTGGCTGCCAATGACTGCAGTGAAACTGGTGGCAGACAATATTCATACATAACTGGTCCATGTTTCTGTATCACAGGGGCATCCGCAAGGGGTGAGCATAGTTCAAAACCCCACCCCTTTTTTTACATGTATCACATGTGCAACCAATGTAAAAAAAGGTGTGGGGTTTCGATTGCACAGTCATGACTGCCAACTTCAATTTCTCTTTCTCTCTCTCTCTCTCTCTCTCTCACACACACACACACACACCACAGAGGTCCCTGGTATATGAGCCTTGTTTTAAAAGCATTGAGGTTGATTATGCTAGTGTTCTTAAACTATGCATTAACTGCTTAGGTGTAGTAGATTCAATCTTTCAGTGATGCCAGTAAACAGCAACTAATCTGACCAAATCAGTAAACAGAAAAATGAAGATTTATTTACACTGAACTGCCAAGTCTGTAGACTTCAGGGGATAAAACTATCCAATGGAAAAAATGCATGTGCCCAAGTAAAATATTAACCAGGGTGGAGCATGGCTCCAGCATCATGTGCACCTTTCACGGGGCACACTACTTCCCAGGCCTCTGCATCCATTCAGCTGTCAGAGCCAGTCCTGTGCTAGTTGTATCTTTTCCTCTTATTTCTCCTTCCTGGTCATGAGTATGAAAAGACTCGATTCTCTTCAGATTAATCTCATTCCATCTGCAAAGAAAAACAGTTTCACCCCATTTGCACCTGGGCAGATGCCAGCCATACCTTCTCCATCATGCATTAACTTGTGCTGGAAATGAATTACAGAATGCCGCTGACAAGTAGAATGCGCCTTATGCTAATTGTACAATCCCCACATAAGTATACGTGGGCAATTCCACTCCAGAAAGAAGGAAAGAAAATAGGCTGCCACTCACAAATCCTAATATCACCCTGAGGCTTCACTTCTCCAGCAGTCATTTCACCATAATATAACTGGTAGGATTATTGTAGGTAGCATTACCTCTTGTTGTAAGTGTTTCAGTGCAGTATGTGATCACTGTAATTAGAATACGGAGATGTCTGAAACAGAGATAAGGATGGCATAAGAAACACGCCTAGGAGACTTGACTCTCATTCCTTTCCCTCAAATCTATATACGTCTACTCAGAAGTAAGTCCCACTGAGTTCAGCGGGGCTTACTCCCAATTAAAAGGACTTAGGATTACAGCCTTAATGGCACATTTCTACAATCAGTGCCTTTAATTACTATGGATTATATGAAGGCAGCAGTAGATCTTATGGGAAGCTAAGTCCTGGACATCTGATCGGACCAACAAAAAAAATGTCCATCCAGAGATGTTGGGGGTGGGGGGGTCAAAGGGAATGCAAATGAAAAAGGAGCACTGTGCTCTGCCCCTTTTGTAGTGCATTATGACATCAATAAATAAATAAACAATAAATATATTAAACAGTATAAAAATATAAAGTATAAAATAAAATATTTATTTCATTCTCTGAACATTGTAATATAGTTTGAAGTGAAAGACTAATAGCAAATGGGTCCAACCTGTCTATGAGAAAAAGTGCCATAAATGCTTAATATTAGGAGAAACTCCTACGCAGAAAAAGGACGTACAAACCTTCCTCCAGTTTTTTTGTGTGCATTTTCCTATGAATGTTTCAAATATGCAGAACTGAGAAGTTAAGAATTAATTTAATTAATTACATTAGAGCAAATAAATTAATAAATTTATTAATAAATTAAATTAGAGCAGATTAGAGCAGTCTGACAATCAAACCAATTCCTTCAAAGAGCTGGTGGTCTCTCTCTCACTTTCAGCAAAGTCCAAAAGCTGTGTGCTAGAAATGCTCCTCTACTTCTGTATTTCCTAAATTAAATAAAGAATTAGAGTAAAGGCTTTATGAGGCACTGTCCCCTTTTGTGGCGTCTGGATTTAGACATTGTATGAATCATAGTTTGAACCACTGTTTGTTTAATAAACAGTAGTGGAGTTCACAAATTTTGCTAAAATAACTTTCCACTCTAATTGTTGTTTAATGAGTCTGAAAAACAAATGAAGGCAGAAATCCACAAGAAGTAGCATCCACAAATGCTACTTCTATGATTTCACTTGAATTATTTATTCATTCATTTCTTTATTTACTAAAATTTGCATTCCCCTCTGCTCCAAAAAGTTACTAATTTAGATAATAAAAACAGAAACAATAATATGATACACAGAAATAAGTCTTTAATACTCAAAATAATAACCTAATAATGAGATTACAAAAGAAAATGCTAGTGATACATGGCATTTAACTATATCCAAATGTTGAAGGTAACTTTCCACTGGCAGTCGGTCAGTACAGGTTTCACACATGTGTCAGACTTCCCTCTCTCTCTCTCCCTCTCTCTCTTTATGTGTGTATGTCTTTCTCTCCCTTGACAGCTTATCTGTCATGATCACTCTGACATTTGTTTGGCTTTGCGTTTAATTATCTCTTGAATAGAACAAAGGTTCAGATCAGGTTGAGATAATAGGAAGTCAGTGAAGCTGATGTGTAAGAACTAATGACACCAGAAGTGTTGGTCTGTAAAAGCTGACCCTCTGGGATAAGGAACAAAGGCCAATAAGGGAGAAAGCGATTAATCAATCATCTGGGAAGCAGAAAGATGTGTACAAAGGTGTCTAGTGTTTACATCTGTATCCCACCTGGATAGCCACAAACAAAATATAGCCCACTTAAATTCCTGTGCACTGGAGCAAAGCCCCATAGGAATGCAGGAAAGCATCTGGAAATGTATCTCTAGGCATGGGGAATAAACATGGGGAAATTAATCAAGTTACAAGGCACACCAAGCCCGGGACACCATTTATGACTGATAAGAGGATAAATCATTCTTCTCAAAGAAGGAACTAGAGACCACCAACACAATCCGACCTCGTTGCAAAAGGAGCTATTGCTATGTCTAATGAATGTTGTATACTAAAAGACATTGGGAATTTCAATAGCTAAACAAAATAGCCCAAAAGGCAACAGTGTACACAAAGACCCAGATACAATTTGGCAGAAAATGTTATAGAAAAGGAGAGGGAAAAAAAGGCTTTCCTCCCATGATGCCTGTATATGCTATTTAGGAAAGCACCCAAATTGCCCAGCAGTTCAAATTTAATATGGATTCTTGGCTTTTAATATACTTTATATAGCTGTGGTATCTGGACTAACTTGAATTTCAGGTCCCAAAAGATTGGAAAGGTGTACTTTAAGGACAGTTTACTCTTTCATTTTCACAACTGGGCCCAGAAATTGTCTGAGAATCATAGAATTGGAAGGGATCTTGAAGGTCTTCCAGCTCATCCCCTGCTCAGGCCAGGAATCCTCAGATCATTCCAGACAAATGAATGTCCAACCTTTGCTTGAAAACCTCCAGTGATGGAGCATCTATGACTGCGAGAAGCAGGCTTAATCACTTAAATGGTCAGGATATTCTTTTTTATTTCATGTTTGGGTCTCCCTTGGTAAAGCTTCCAACCAGTGGTTCTTTTCCTAAACTCAGTCTACATGGAGAATAAATCCACACCCTCTATCCTGTGACAGCCCTTCAAGTATTGGAAGACTGCTATCCTATGTCCCTCTAGTACATCTACTTCTTTTAACTTTTCTTCATAGGATTTGGCCTCTGAGCCCCTCACCGTCTTTTTTGCTCTTCTCTGAACGTTTTCCAGGTCCTCAGCATCCCTCTTGTATTATGGCAACCAGAACTGGATGCAATATTTCAGGTGCAAACTGACCAGTGCAGCCTAGAACAGAACTATCACTTCCTGTAATCTCTACACTAGATCTCTGTTGATGTAGCCCAAGATTACATTGGCTCTTTTTGGAGAGGTGCAGCACATTGTTGATTCATGCTTAATTTGTGGTTATCAGGAGGCCCACAAGGACACTGCATCTACTAATTTAGTCAAATTGTCAAAAAAGAGTAAGATTTGTCTGGCATGATCTGTTTTTAACAAATCCATGCTGACTTCTAGTTATCACGTTGTTCCTTTCTAAATGCTTGCAAACCCACTGCTTGATCTTTTTTTGGGGGGGGGGGGGGTTCTCCGGGGGCGGATGGTTCTATATTTCCCGAAATCATTTTTCCCCCTTTTTTTACCATGCTTAGTTTTGTGGGGGGGGGGGGAGTTCTCAGGTGCTGATTGGTCTATAGTTTCCTGAATCTATTTTCCCCCTTTTTTTACCATGCCTAGATTTGTGTGGGGGTGGGGGTGACCTTGCGGCAGGGTCTCCAAATTCTCTTCCTTTTCATGACATTCACACACCTCTTCATAGTGCTATTGATATTTGCCTTAAGAATCACATATAGAAAGCAATATCAGAGTGATAGAAATGGATATGAAGTTCTGAGGATGGATATGAAGAAAAGCTCTGAGATGGTGCCGCATAGCTGTTCTTGTGGTGGCTTCTACTAGTGCTATGTCAAAATCTGTCCTCCAATTTCCCAAATTGTGAAAGAGGACTTGATTCCTCCATCATATTTTCAAGTTGATTTAAAAATTGTTTTCATTTCTTTGGATAGTATTCTGAGTTTAACTTATCATTGTTAGATGACCATGAACATTGTGTATTTTCCTTTCTCTGTCACACATCTCTCCACTGCTCTACAGCCTCCCTATGGCCTGCCTCTCTGGATCTTATTGTAGAAGGAAAACTGAACATTTGCACAAGCATCTTGGCAAACCTGCAACTAAATTAGTACAAGAGTACCCCACTACACTTACAGAATGAAAGAATTTTTAAAGCAAATTGTCTTGCATTGGATAGAATGAGAACTAATTGAAGAAAAAAAAAAGCAGGAGAATATCAATATGATCAATAATTTAAAAATTCACCACATTTTGAAAGTAATTTCACATCCACTAAATAACAGAGGATGACTGGAGTGAAAATTATTTTTAAAATATCATAAAATAACAGACAAGAAAGAGGGTAACCTGCTGTTCAGGGCAGAAATCTAAATTAAAACACCCCTGGTGGGGCCTGTCCAAATTCAGTTTTTAAACACATCCAACAGAACGAATCACCATCTCCCTTAAAGGCTGCTCTGCCAAATTGTCATTCCTACTGAGAAGTTCTCCCCCCACCCCCAACTATTAAGCAAAACCTGCCTTCTGGTAACTTCAGAACATTATTTGATGCCCTGCATTCGGAAACAATAGACAACAGTTACCCTGCATACCTATCTCTTTGGACAAACTAAATCAACAGGCCCAGATTTCAGGGGATAATTTGTTCCTGCCAACACAACTAAATAAATGGTGGAGTAATTCTGCCTCTTTGGCAGGCATTGTCAGCTTCTGTTTGACAATCTTTTGCACTCTGGCATGTTCCAAGCATTATGAAAGCCCTGGTTTTTACTTTGGCACTGAGGACATGGTTTTGCAGCCAAAGTCGTTTGTTAATTTAACATTTTTCTTCACACTCTGTCTATTAGTGAGAAGTCTTAATGACTTTGGAAGGCGAGGAGGCCTTTGACTACCATTCAGATATGTGTGTGGGGTGCAAAGCAGCATTTAAGTCAAAGCAAGAGAAGGTTCCAGTGAAATTCTGGCAGTGGTCACTGTTCCCAGGAGGTAATTAGAGAGCTTAATATCAATGTTTCCAGTGATGACTATACATCAAAACATTCATCTTGAAGTTAAATTCCATGTAGAATGTCTTCTGATTTGATCTCTTGAATCTAAAGAATGACCATCATTTAGTATACAAAAATAAATTCAAATCCTATACTATCCTATACTTTTATATACAACCTGGCATGGCAATGGGTTGCTTAAGGGACCATTTCTCCTCTATTATATCTTTGTGTGTGTGTGTGTGTGTGCGTGTGTGCATGCCTTCAGGTCAGTGTTGACTCCTGGTGACTGCCTGGACTTGTCCCTGTAGTTTTCTTGGCAAGATTTTCAGAAATGGTTTGCCAT